CGAAAGAGCTACGACAGCCCCGCTGCACTTGGTAGCACTTGTAGTCAATCTACACCTGAGTGGTTACGACTGACCCTCAGAGAGAATGGAGCATTTCTCTTAATTGCCCAGGGCATGCGAGACGGGCTTCATAAACTGATGTCTTTGCTTAGCTTGAGGGCGTACAACACCTCGCTTCGCAAGGACCTGAAGCGATCAGCGCGCACCTAGAGGCGTTTTAGGGCTGTGAAAATTCTCTGCTAGAGCACCTAGAGAAGAGGATATTGGCGTCGATAGTGTCCATGACACCACCTTCGAGGATGGATAACTCCCCATGCCCCAAGTCGCTAATATGAGTATTAGGGCAATCAAGGGAAAGGATGGGGAGAATCTCCTGCTCTGGATGAGAGAGATCGAGATGGTCATGACATCCGCCATGGTTCAGGCCGAGCAACAGCACGTTGCGTTAGCTATCCCCAAGCTTGGTGGTCGAGCGCAAGACGGGCACTAATTTGGTCGAAACGGTACTTCTCTCCTACACGGAGCTGAAGTTACAGCTTTAACGAGTGTTCTCGCCGCCTAACTAGGCACATCGCGTGCGATCGTGATTCCTTGACGTCCGACTGGGCAGGAAAAAATTTGTGGACTTTGTCCAAGAGTTAATTTCTCTCATTGCTGGTACGGAAGCCGAGTTTCTCCCCGAGGCGGTCACAGTGACCGTCGTTTTGGAGGGCCTCCGTACTGGCGTGGCCAGAATGGAAGTCTTCCGTGTGCACCCCGGATCTTTTGAAATAGCGGTGAATGTGGCGTTGAATGCTTAATTTAGCTTTGTGTCGTACAACTTGGCTGGGATGCACACTGTAGCAGCTTGTCGAGCGGGCTTAAGCCAATGGATCTAAGCTATGCTGGGAAAGAGGAGGGAGAGCTCCGAGCTGCCGAGCAGCGTGTAAACACTCGACTGTGTTTGGCTGTGGAGACATCTATCACCTTCGGATTGGTTGTCCCCTGCGCAAGGCGCATCTCGGTTCATCGAGCACACGAACCGCTTCTTACCAGTCTTCTTATTCGTCGCGGGGAAACGACAACACCAAGAAGACGCGAAGTTGTCTGCTTGGGAAGAATTGAGTTTTGTTGGGCTAGAAGTCAGCAATGCCTAGACCCGAAGTGCTCCGTGCTCCTGAACACGGAACGTGTATGCAAGCCGAGCTTACTGGTCGAGGCAGCGATCGGGAAGGGCTTTGAAAAACCATGGAAGATCTTGATCGACTCTGGGGTGTCGGGCAGTCACGCTCGACGCTTCATGATGAAAGGAAGTTAGCTGTATGATGAGGCTCAAAAGGCGAGGATTAGTGACATTGCCTCCGATCTCTTAGCGACGGGGACATGTGTCACGGTGCCGAAGGTCTATGATAGCGTTGAATGCTTAGACTTTTACTTGGATTTAAGATATGACCTCATCCTTGGTTTGGCAGGGTTGGAATACCATGAGTCATGGGTCGACTGAAGGTCGAAGTTGGGTACCACGCGCACGTCTCCTGATGGAGCTTTGGTGAGTCATAACCCCATCTCTGCTAGAAGGCAACAACGCTATTAGCGTTGGCACTAGACCGAGACGGTCAACGTGCTGGAGGTCGGAGAAACCGAGTTGGTGAACACCGATGGTGGTTTGAACTGGAATCCCGAGGATGGTTTGCGGGCTATACGTGGAGTGGCATGTAACCCACTGGGCGCTGCTCAGATATCGAAGCAGTCACTGTATGCCATGGGTAACATGGTCGGACGAGGCCCGAAGAAATTTCGGGCAAGGCCATTCAGATGCGCGTGGAGTGGCACGTTATATACTGAGCGAAGACTGCGGAGCTAGCAATTTTTCGTCGAATGTTGTTGATAACATCAGGGCTCCGGTGGCGTAGGAAATGGGGGAAACACTGGACGACGCTGAATTCGTGTTCCCTCTAGTCTCGCCAAAATGTACAACCACTGCGAAGAGGCGACATATACGCTGTAAGCTAGCTTGAAGACGCCAGGCGCCGACCCTTACTGTGCACAGCGTGCTTCGGACTCTTGAGGTTTTCCGCGCAGCGGTATGCGACACCAGCATGTTGCTCAGCGGAGTCCCGATCGCGACGGACCGCGTCCATAAGAGCTCGAATAGCAACGCGACTCACCAGACGGCGATCGACCCAGTCGTCATCGTCCGCCGCCGACACTTCTCGACGAGAATGGTAGCGTTCACTATCACATGGGACGTCTTGTGAATCGACGTCGTCGTCATGGTCAAACCCAGTATTCTGTGAAGTGGCGGACATATCAAAATTCTGAGAGCTCATGGAAGTTTGAGGTTTCACTTCGGCAAGACTGCCTAGTCGTCGTAAACGCTTATCATCGGAAGGTCATGACGCTTTGCGTCGCCGTAGGGCCATGCGCTGAGTTTAAGCTATGTTTCTAAGCTGCTGCGGTCGCAGACTCACCCATGTGAGTGACCACAGAGCCCGTGGAAGTGTGATGAATTAACTCAGACGTCACAGGGCAACAACCCGAAGGAAGTCTGCGACGCGCCTTGAGTTTGGTAAGCTTAAACCGAAGATGGCGTTTCACGCGCGCTCCCACCTCTTTGTGGCTCGACTGTGAGTTGTACAGCGAGGAAAGTTTTGGTGCCGCTGCACGTCGCTCAAAGAACTCTTCGTCATCTGCAGTGATTTTGCCAGGGAATAGCACCACAGGAATTGTCGGCATCTTTGGTCCAGCAGCGCCTCCGCTTTGAGCACGCAGGCAAGTGCGGTATGTATCCACCGGGATTTCTTGAGGAACCAAAAAGCGAGTTGGCAAGCTTTTCCTTGTCAATCTCAGCTTGTTTAGCGGTACGGGGCCCGATCACGTAGAAGATCAACGATCGAGTGATCGCGTCCTTCGCTTCTGTAGCGGGATCAGCTGAGCGGAAGCCGTATTCCACACAAGAC